ACGGTTTTAAAACTTGTAACGTTTATAAGAGCAGACTGCCAATCTTTCACATGAGGAGCAGCTGGTGGGCTCAAAATTCTGTTCTTTACGTTAACAATCAAGCACTTAACAACTACACCTCTAAGCTTTCTTAATGCCATACAGTCAACCCTTTTAAATGTTATGATGAAAGTATCAACAAGTTGAAGTGAAAGCTAAAAACCTATTGCTGCAAAATAATTCACAGATGCACAGAAAACCTATAAAAACTGCTTAGAAGCTCATCATGAGGTTTCCAAACTATAATCTTTTTTAAAAAATGTTTTATTGTGAATTACATGATAATTTACATGGGAGAACATTAGCTTTACATTCATCCTATCCTGTATCGTTTCATTGCCATGGTTACAATCCCCTCCATGCATCATTAACCAAACAAAGGGTATAACCTGCAAGCCTGACCCCCAGTTGTCAGCTCCTCTTCCTCTCTGGGTCTAGAGTCCCCAGCTGCTCCATCTCTGGCATCACTGCGTCTCTGGGTAGGGTCCCATTTTATGCTCTGCTCCCTTGATGGTCCATAGGACCTCCGCTCCTAGACTGCAAAGTCAATCACTCCCCTCCTTTTGCTATAAAACATCTACCTTTATATTTCCAACCCTCACAGTCAGTCCAGATAACAATTATTCATTATTGTATCACAAAAGACCTATCCGCATCTCCTTTCATCAGCCTCACCCAGACAGATTGGATACTACTCAGTGGAAATTCTACCTTTTTCTGTGCCCTTTGGATCTAGGCTCCCTCTTGGAAGCTTGGAAACCAGTCCCTTCTTGCCTTTGTAGCCCCCCCTCCCCCGTTTTGGGTAGCCAATGTCCAAGCTGCCCATCCCTGTCTACTCTGTGTATGGAGGGGGTGGGAGTGATCCTTGCTGTAAAGATATGGTCCCTCTTTTGAGCTACTGCATCCATAGGTGTGGGTCAAGTTCATCAAATTGTAACAGATTACTCTTGTTTTCCTCTTCTTTCTTCTTCTAGTTGAGCTCTGATCGTCCAGTCACTGAAGCCACCAAGGCTATAATCTTTAAAGAAGCAGACTGCAACATCATTATCCCATAGAGCGACTGGTGAGACTGAACAGCTGACCATTTGGTTAATAGTCAAATGCTTAAACATTGCATCACCAGAGCACAAAATAATTAAATGGTTGTTGATGTTTAGTTGACATCCAGTTAGTTCTGACTCATAGGAACTCTAATTAATGAAATACTGTACAGACCTGAACCATCCTAACAATTTTTATTATATTTGAGCCAATTGTTGCTCCTACTGTGTCAGTCCATCTTGTTAAGTGTCTTCCACTTTTGTGCTGACAATCCACTTTACCAAGCATGATGTACTTCTCGAACGACTTTCCCTCCTGAAAAAACACCCAAAGTACATGAGACAAAGTGTCACCATCTTCATTTCAAAGGAGCATTCTCACTGTACTTCTCACAATACAGATTTGTTTGTCCTCTTCTGGCTATTCATGGTACTTTCAATATTCTTTACCAACATTACATTTCAAACGCTTCGATTCTTCTATAGTCTTCCTTATTCACTAATTTTCACATGCATGTGGGGCTACTGAAAATATCATGGATTGGGTCAGGTACACCTTAGACCTCAAAATGGTATCGTTGTCCTTTTGCAACACATTGCCTAATGCAATATGTCCTTTGGATTCTTGACTGCTGGCTGGTTCCATGAGTGTTGATTGTGGATCCAAACATGAAGAAGTCTTTGACAATTTCAATCTTTTCTCTGTTTATCTTTAAATTATTTATTGTGTCAGTAGTAAGGACTTTTTCTTTCAAATGAGTTGCAATCCATACTTGAAGGCTGTGTGTAGTGTTTGATCCTCATCAGGAGTATTCAAAGTCTTCTTCACTTCCAGCAAGCAAAGTTGTGTTACCTGCATATTACAGGTTGCTAACAACTCTTTTTCCAATCCTGATGTCACGTTCTTCTTCATAAAATCCAGTTTCTTGGATTATTTATCAGCATATAGATTGATTAAGTATGGTGAAGAGCTACAACCCTGACACACACACATCTTTACTGATTTTAAACCATTCAGTATCCCCTTGTTTTGGAGTAACGACTGTCTCTTAATCGATGTACAGGTTTTTCCTGAACACAATTAAGGGTTCTGGATATCCCATTCTTCGTAATGTTGTCCATAGTTTGCTATGGTCCAGTCAGTCACAAGTTTTTGCATCCCCAATAAAGCAGAGGTAACATCTTTCTGGTATTCTCTCTTTCAACCAAGAGGCATCTGATGTCAGCAGTGAGATCCCTCTTCTATATCCTCTTCTGAATTTGGCTTAAATTTCAGGCAACTCCCTGTTTATATGCTTTAAAATTATTAAGGATAATTTTTTAATTATCTTCAGCAAAGTTTTATTTGCATGTGATTATTAATATTGTTGGATGACTTCCTCATTGTGTTAGGTCATTTTTCTTTGTAATGGGCATAAATATAGATCTCTTCCAAATGATTGGCCATGTCTTTCAAATTTCTTGGCAAAGATGAATGTCTCTAGTGCTGTTATCAATTTGTTGAAAAATCACCATTTGTAATCCATCAATTTCTGGAGCCTTGTTTTTCACCAATGCCTTAAGTGTAGCTTGGACTTCTTTCAGTATAATTGGTTCTTGAGCATATGCTACCTCTTGCAATTGTTAAACATCAACCAATTCTTTTTGGTACAGTGACTGTGTATTCCTTCTATTTTCTTTTGATTTTTCTGGCCCAATATTCTGCCCTTAGAATCTTTCAATACTGAAACATGAGGCTGAATTTTTTCTTCGGTTCACTCAGTTTGAGAAACGCTGAGCATGTTCTTCCCTTTTGATTTTCTAACTCCAGGTCTTTGTACATTTCCTTATAATATTTTGCCTTCTCAAGCTGCCCTTGGAAGTTTTCTGTTCAGTTCTTTTAATTCACTACTTCTTCCAGGCATTTTAGTTCAAGAGCAGATTTCAGAGTCTCTCTGACATCCAGTTTGGTCTAGTCTTCCTTTCCTATCTTTTTAATTACATTTTTCTGTTTTCCTACATAATGCTCTTGACTTCACCCTACAACTCCTCTGGTTTTTGGTTATTAGTTTATAATGCATCAAATGTGTTCTTGTAATGATCTCTAAATTCAGGTGGGATATACCCAAGGCCTTGTTTTGGCTCTCATTTGATTGTTTTAATTTTATTCAGCTTTATCCCAAATTGGCACATGAACAACTAATGGTTTGTTCTAGTCAGTTCCTGGCCTTGATTTTGTTGATGATACAGAGCTTCTCCATCTTTTCCTCCCACACATATAGTCATTTGATCCCTGTGTATTCCATTAGGTGAAGTCCATGTATATATTTGCCAATCAAGTTGTTGGAAAACGATTTCTGTAATGAATAAGTCATTGGTCTTGCAAAATTCTATCATGCAATTTCCAGTGTTTCTATCATCTAAATCATGTTTTCCAACTACTGATCCTTCCTCTTTACTTCCAACATTTTCATTCCAATTACCAGTAATGATTAATGTATCTTGACTGCTTGTTTGATCAGTTTCAGATTGAAGAAGTAGAATTCTTCAATTTCATCATCACTGACTTTAATAGTTATTACTAAGTTTAAATAATAGTGGTATTAACTAGTTTTCCCTATGTTGTTGTTGTTAGGTGCCATCAAGTCGGCACCGACCCATAGCGACCTTATGCACAGCAGAACAAAACACTGCCCAATCCTGGGCCAATCTCACTACTGTTGCCACACTTGAGGTCCATTGATGCTGCCACTTGGCCAAGCCACCTCACTGGGGGGTTTCCTCTTTTTCTGGGACCCTCCACCTTACCAAACATGATATCCTTTCTCCAGTGATTGGTCCCTCCTGACAATATGTCCAAAGTACAACAAAGTTTGGCCATCTTGGCCTCTAAGGAGCACTCTGGCAGCCCTTCTTCCAAAACGGATCTATTGGGGTTTTCCCTACACATATATGGATATTAACCTATCACTGACAGTACTGTACTTCAAGACACATGTTGAACTATTCCTTCAGACAATGAATGTGATGCCATTTCTCTTCAATTTGCTGTTCCTGCCATAGTAAATTATATGACTATCTGATTCAAAATACCCAACACCTGTCGATTTTTGCACACTAATGCCTAGACCTTATATGTTCCATTTCATTTTTCTGACAACTTCAAATTTTCCTAGTTTGATACTTTCTACAGTCCACATTCGGCTTATTAATGGATGGCTGCAGCTGTTTCCATTCATTTTGAGTTGTGCACTATCAGCACATGAAGGTCTCAAAAGTTTTGCTGTATCCATGTCATTATGGTCAACTCTACTTTGAGGAGGCAGCTCTTCTCTAGTCACATTTTAAGTTCTCTCCACCCTGAGGGGGTCATCCTTCGGCACTGAATCAGGTAATGCTCCACTACTATTCATAAGGCTATGAATGATTTATCCTTTATAAGTGGTCGACTTCTGCTTTTCCCTAGAGTGTCTTAATCTGGAAGTTCTGCTGAAAACTATCCACCATGGGTGCCCCTGCTGGTATTTAAAATACTTGTGGGATAGCTTCCATCATCGCAGCAACACACAAATCACCAAAATATAAGAAATTAACAGATGAGTGGTGCAAAACTCTAAAGACAGATTTTTAAATAAAGTTCCTTCGTATGAATCTTCTAAGCTGAAAAACTACTAGACTCATACATAGTACTGTTGCTACGAACTTAAAACAAATGACTCATTCTGAACTTATTCAATGACTGAAAATGCACAGCAGTGACTTGTTCTAAAATTATAGACTACCAAGTGTGTGTATATCTGTGTCTAACAGAAAGAGAGAACAGCAGTATGAGGTGGAGGAGAGAGAAGAGCGTAAGGGAGGAAAAAAGAGAGAATAAGGCAGCCAAATAAGGAGGAGGGATGGAAGAAAGGAAAGAATAGAGTTTAAACAACACAAGTTTACCTGAAAGAGCCTGGTAAAAATATCAAATTCAAAAACTGAAATGTAATCATTGCAGGTCAAGTCAATTGTTGATTTTAGAGCCATAGCTTCCAAGCCGGAGCTAATTTGATGAACTTCATGAAGGCACTGTCTGAATACTTTCCATGGTACAATAGTTCTGTACAAAAACAAAAAGTAATAATAGTAATTAAATTAAGTGTCATTTAAGACACACCTTCTATTCAAACAGCACAATTCAATCACAATATTAATATAATTATATCTGTATTAAAAAGCAAATAGTTAACATTGTTCATAATTCAGAACACAGGCAATGTTTGGCTTCTGCTAATTGAATTATTTTCCATTTATAAACAGTATGTTAAAAATCTGGAGTCCTGGTGTGGCACTGTAGGATAAACGCTGGACCATAAGGTTGGTTTGAATTGCAAGACTGGTGGTTCAAACTCACCAGATGCTCCTTGAAGTCCTATACAAGGTTGCTATGAGTCCGAACTGACTAGATGGCACTTAACAACAACAACAATAAAAATCTAATTCAATTTTTCACTCAAAACAGTATTTGGATACCAAGATATCTCTAGAAATAAATCACAAAGAAGGCGAAAGCCTTGTGTGTACGAACCTCTTCATTTATGTATACAAGACTAGTTAACTACGAATCCAGGTTAAATTCTCCCTGTGAAGCAGTTCTAATCTGTCACATGGGGTTGCTATTAGCAGGAATCTTCTCAAGAGTACATAGCATTTATTTCCCAAAATAGTTATAAAATGATGGGTCCATATAATAGTTAGAATTATTCATTCATTGTATAAAAGAATAACATTTACCTAATATTATAGGAAATTAAGATGAGAAGTTATCAAGGCATTTCTGCCTCCATTCCAGTACTTTCTGAAGAGAGGAAAAGCATATCATCTAACCTTTAATGCTAACGGAAAGGGGAAAATAACCATATTATCTTATTGAAATGTATTCAATATTTATTTGTTAACTTATTAAGCATCATGTTTAAATTTTTAATAGATAATGCATTTAAATAGTGCAAAAATATAGAATTACACAGAGTGGCAAACAGATTAAAACCTCTCTCCAAATGTATCCAATATCTGAGCAGTTTCCAACATTTAGTCACTCCACCCTTTACCATGAAAACAGGAAACACTCACCACTCCTTTCTTAATTAACCTTCTAGTTTTCAGGATGTTAACTACCCATTCCTGAATAGACAGGGAATTTTTTTATAATTGTATATATGTTGTTGTTGTTAAGATCTGTTGAGTCGATTCTGACCCATAGCGACTTTGTATAGGGTTTCCAAGGAGCAGCTGCTGAGCTTGAACCACCAACCTTGCAGTTCAAAGGACTTTACAGTTTGACGCATTAGCCCACAGCTCCACACCAGGACTATATATATACACACACACATATATTTATCAATGTCCTGGTGCGGCAATGCACTTGACCCAAAGTCAGTTTGAACTGTAAGTTTGGTGGTTCAAACTCACCAGTTGCTCTTCAGAACCCTATACAAGGTTGCTATGAGTTGGACCTAGCTTAACGGAACAACAACAACATTTAACAGTATATAGGTAGCATAGTGGTTACGAATCGGGCTGCTAACCTTAGAGTCAGCAGTTCGAAACTACCAGCTGTTCTGCAGGAGAAAGATGAGGCTTTCTGCTCCCGGAAAGATGTACCGCCTCGGAAACCCTGTACAGGGTCGCTATGAGTCTGAACCAACTCCCTAGCATACAACAACATAGCCACACTATTTTATATACATATATATGCATATATGTTGTTGTTGTTAAGTGCCGTCGAGTCAGTTTTCACTTACAGAGATCACGTATAGTTTTCAAAGAGCAGCTGGTGAGCTTGAACCACAGACTCTGAGGTTCAAACCAACTTTGCAGTCCAGCTCATTAACCAACAACACTGTATATACACATACAATGCATACATACACATACTATTATATATATTGTTGTTAGGTGCTATCAAGTTGGTGCTGACTCATAATGACCCTATGCACAACAGACAGAAACAACTATTTGGTCCTGGACCAACCTCACCATCAATGCTACATTTGAGCCCACTGATGCTGTCACTGTGCCAATCCATCTCACTAGGTGTCTTCCTCTTTTTCTCTGATCCACAATGATATCGTTCTCCAGGGACTGGGCCCACTTGTTAATTATGTCAAAAGTATAAGAGATCAAGTTTGGACACCTGGCCTTTAAGGAGCATGCTGGCTGCATTTCTTTCAACACAGACTGGTTTGTTCTTCTGGCAGCCCATGGTCCTTAGAATATTCTCTACTCCAACACCATTATTTAAATGCATCAGCTATTCTATGGTCTTCCTTATTCACTGTCCAAGTTTCATGTGCATGTGAAATTATTGAAAATACCATGGTTCCGGTCAGGCACACGTTTTCCTCAAACTGCCATCTTTGCTCTTCAACATTTTAAAGAGGTTTTATGGAACAGATTTGCCCAATGTAACATGTAGTTTGATTTCTTGACTGCTTCTTCCATGAATGCTGATGGGTGAATCAAGCAAAATGGCGTCGTTCACAACTTCAATCTTTTCTTCATTTATCTTGATGTTATTTACTGGTCCAGTGGTGAGGATTTTTGTTTTCTTTACATTGAGGTATAAACCATAATGAAGGCTCTGGATTTTGATCTTCATCAGTAAGTATTTGAAGTCCTGTTTACTTTCAGCAATGAAGTTTGTATCATCTGCACATTGTTAATGAGTATTCCTCCAATCTTAATTCTTCTTCATATAATCCAGCTTGTTGGATTACGTACTCAGCATATAGATTGCAAAAGTATTGCAAAAGAATAAAACCCTGCACACACCTTTCCTAATTTAAAATCATCCAGTGTTCCCTTTTTCTGTTTGAAAAACTGCCTCTTGGTCTATGTACAGGTTCTTCATGAGCACAATTAAGTGTTCCAAAATACTCGTTCTCTGCAATGCTGTCCATAGCTTTTCATGGTCCACACAATCAAAAGCCTTTGCATAGTCAATACAGCACAGGTAAACATCTTTCTAGTATTCTCTGCTTTCAGCCAAGATCGATCTGACATCATCAATGATGTCCCTTGTTTCACGTCCTCGTCTGAATCTGACTTTAACCTATGACAGTTCTCTGTCAATGTACGGTTGCAGCTGTATTTCAATTATCTTTAGCAAAATTTCACTTGCATGTAATATTAATGAGATTGATGATTTCTGCATTATGCTGGGTAACCTCTCTTTTGGATGGACATAAATAAACATGGATCTCTTCCATTCAGTCGGCCATGTACTCTTCAAATTTTCTTGGCATAGATGTGTGAGTGCCTCCAGTGTTTCATCAGTTTGTTAAAAGGTTTCAATTTGCATTCCATGATTTCCCAGTGCTTTGTTCTTTGTCAATTCCTTCAACGTATCTTGGATATCTTCCTTCAGTATCATTGACTCTTGATCATATGATAGCTCTTCAAATTATCGAACACAGACCATTTCCTTTTGGTACAGTGACTCAGCGTATTCCTTCCATCTTCTTTTGATGCTTTCTGAGTCATTTAACATTTTGCCCACAGAATCCTTCAATACTGTTAGGTAGAGGATTGATTTTTTTTCTTCAGCTCCCTCAGTTTAAGTTATACTCTTCACAAAATAAAAGCATGAGTGCTTTATGTAGCCTCCTATAAGACTGAAGATACAAAAATCTTATGATTTTCTTTACCAGCATTTTTTGCAAATAAAAGACACAGAATAACTGGACTAAGGTACATGGATTTTCTGCCTGCCTCACTCCTATGTCAATCTTCTCAGAGAAGCATAACCATAAATGTACAACTTTAATATTTTGACAATAATGTCCTATTACAGGGGTTGCCAAACATTATCACATTAGAAGAATTTGGAGGGGTTTACACAGCCCAGATATTCTTATTCCAAAGACTGGGATAGGGACTGAGAATTAACAATTTCCCTGATTATGCTGATATTGCTAGTCTGGACAGCATACTTTGAGAACCATCGGGCTGTGAACCTTAAGGTAACCGGTTCAAAACTACCAGCCGCTCCGCGGGCGAAAGATGAGGCTTTCTACTCCCGTAAAGATTTACACCCTTGGAAACCCTGTACAGGGTCGCTATGGGTTGGAACCGACTCAATGTCACTTAACAACAACAACAACAAGGAAAGGTACAGGAGTCCTAATATATAGCTGTATGATAAGCACTGGACCACAAGGTAGGTCTCAAACACAAGGTCAGAGATTCAAACCTCCTTGCTGCTCCTCGGAAACTCTATACATGGTCACTATGAGTCAAAATCTACTTGACAGCACTTAATAACACCACCACGAAGGCAAGGTACTGTGATGAAATATAAAATATATCTGTCCTTGAAGAACATACACTTTAGGGGGAGAAATAAGACATGAGGTAAAGAATGGCAAGAGGTAATATGGAACTGGAGTACACATTAAAGGCTGGAGGAATTTTAGGTTTGAGAGGAGTGAACTGTGAGAAATTTAATAAATGAGTGGTGAGGCAGACATGCTATATCATGCTGTTTCATACGGCAATTAAGGTTTTATGTACTATTAAATCATTTTTTAAAGATACATGTATCATGTATTTGTGTTTTTAAAAGATATATATATATATATATATATATATATAAGTGTATATATGAGACTTAATATGTATGTGTGTGTGTATATATACATTGTTTTTTGGAGTCCTGGTGTGGCGTTGTGGGTTAATTCACTCGGCTACAAGGTTAGTGGTCCAAGTTCACTTGCTGCTCCTTGTAAACCCTATACAGGTCATTATGAGTCGGAATCGACTCGACGGTACTTAACAACACCAACAAACTTAAAATTTCTTATGAATCCAGTATGATACAGTATTTCTAGTTCACCATAAATATATATGAAACTTAATATATATACTACACATATATCATATATATCATATATATATACATATGTGGAAGAGCTAGTATGGACTGCAGGAGAAGCAGTATACTGCTAAACAGAGGTCCAGTGGTTCAAATCCAACAATCGTTCCTTGGAAACCTTATACAGGGTTACCAGGAGTCAGAACTAACACCATGGCACTTAACAACGACAAAACAGCAATATA